ACTACGAAAAAAAGAAGCTGGTGAAAGCCTTCAAAAAGGGGGGGGGCTGTGCCTGGCTTCTGGGGCGGGGTTTACCGGGGGGGGGGAGCTGGTTGCAGTGAAACTTGGGTGTTGCCAAATTAACACAGGTTGCAAAAACGCCCTTTAGGGAGCACGGTGCCCCATGGCGTGTCTGGTCTCAAACCTCTGAGGCAACAGCTGCAAAGCTCCGCTTCTTACCAGGGTTCCGGGAAAGGAATAAAATATGTCAAATCCTGCCTACGTTTCTGCGTGGCATGACGACCTGGCAGGGGGTGTGCCTGCTTTGTGGGGGAGCACGGTGCCCCATGGCGTGTCTGGTCTCAAACCTCTGAGGCAACAGCTGCAAAGCTCCGCTTCTTACCAGGGTTCCGGGAAAGGAATAAAATATGTCAAATCCTGCCTACGTTTCTGCGTGGCATGACGACCTGGCAGGGGGTGTGCCTGCTTTGTGGAACAGGCTGACAGCTGACCCGCACTGCATTTGACACGTGATTTCTCTGCTTGTAGAAATTTGCTTGCAATGGTACTGTGATTGAACACCCTGAATATGGAGAAGTGATTCAGCTGCAAGGTGACCAGCGCAAGAACATATGTCAATTCCTCATTGAGGTATGACCTTCCCTTCTAGAATTTGTGCCCTAGAATCAGCCTTCCTGTGTAATTGCTCATTCTCAGAGATGACTCCCTTTGTTGTGGCTTAATGAGCTGTTAGTACTGGGTTTGGTACTTCCTGCTAACCAAAGGTAGAATAAGGATCACGAGGTGGGGTGGAGAGGTACTCGGGACATTCCCTGAATTTTTCCCAAGCTCTGCATGGCTTACAATGGTGCTGCTTTTCTAGGGATGGAGTCTAGTGGTAGCTTTGTCCTTTGGCTTCCATAGTTCTTGTCACCATCATCTCATATCTAGCTAGTATCTGTCTGAAGCCAACCTGGTTCATGTTCGGTAAGGCATGGTCATGTGTTTTTGTTTTTTTTTTTCCACAGATTGGTCTGGCTAAAGACGACCAGCTGAAGGTCCATGGGTTTTAAGTGCCTGTGGGTCACTAAGTAAGAGGACTGCCTTGCAATGAATAAAATCCCCTTCTGTCCCTTGTCATAAGTTTAAAACCAGCTGGATTGTGTAATGTAACCATCTCAAGTCCGCTGTTTCAGTCTGGACTGGTAGTGTAACTCAGCGATGTAATAAACTGGCAAGAGCCATGCTGTCCTGTCTTGCTGTCCCTCATTTAAACAAAGGTAAATCAGGCAGTGTCCAGCCTGAAGCTAAAAATCAGAAGTTTGTGTTAAGTCCAGGGACTCAACATCTTTGTCCAGAGGCCATCTGAATCTCTTCAGTCTCGATTCCTTTCCTTTTAAATGGACTTTAATACTTGAGATGCTTGCTGTGGTCCTAAATGGCATAAGGCACCAAACATGAGCTGTGACATTGAATGGGGAAATAGCGTCCTGTAGGCAGGGCTTGCTTCTGGAGGTCTGGCTGAAAACTGACACTGATCAAGAAGAGTAACTGAAGAAACCTATCTTAGGAGATTCTTGGAAGAACGCTTCTGCAAGGCTGACTCTCTTGACCTCAGGCCGCATCAGCTGTTGGTATTAAACCCAAAGATATGGGGGTAGAGTATTGAAAGGAAACATTACCTTGGGTTAAACTTTTGACAAGGGATCAATTTTTGGATAATTGTAGATAAAGCTGCACAGCTTACATGTTACTAATAATTGCTGCCCGATGCCCTGTGAAGCAACAGATTCTTGGTTTCCGTTTTAATGTATGTAATGTATTTAAACCCTTATTTAAATAAAATGGTTTTCAAAAATATCTGCCTGGAGAATTCAATTTCCTACTTCAGCAAGCAGCTCTCTAGTTGCTGTTCAAATTCTGGGCCTTGTGTGCCTTGTGCTAGGTCAAGCTAATTAAAGTCCAGGTGGTTTTCTTTGTTGCATCAGCTCCCATAGTACTTAACAGCCTTCCTGCCAGTTGTATGGGAGCTGATTCAACAAAGCAAACCACCAGGACTTTAGTTTGACTGGTGTAAGATACACATGGCCCGGCCCCAAATCTGAACAGGGAGCAACAGAGACTGATTCTGTGGGAGGGAGTGCTATGAGGTGGTATTGCCTGGCTTCTGGTCACCTTGTAGTAGTCCCAAGATGCTTTGTTGCAAAAACATTTAAGTGCAAAAGCTTTTCACCTGTAAAAGTTGGTTAGTCAGAAATTCTTGCCTGTTATGTCTTACTGGGCCTACCAAAACTGCAGCGAACAGTAAGGATCTTGCTCTATCAACCCTCAGGCAGGAAGTGGTGTTGCATGTGGTTTTGGAGGGAAAGACCTCCCCTGAAGCCCCCATTACAGGGAGCTGCAGTATATGAGCATTGCCTTCCTGTTGCTCTAGGAATGTTGATACACAAAAGTATTGATACAGCACAAAGCCATAGCTTCCTCTTTGTCACCAGTAAGCTGGTAACAGTTAAGACCACTTCCTTATCAGAATAGCAAATAACCCACTGCTAAAAAATGGGGCAAAGAGATCTCACCCTGCACAAAGTGTCCTATAGGCAGGCATGGGGACTTCATCCCATTCTTGCTTTAATGAGCATTTTCAGGAATATGGCTACATTAGTCCCCCTGGAACCTCTTTCTAGATATGGATCTACCCTGATACCATTTGCTGAAGGGGTTTTGTTTTCCTAGCCTTCGCCCTGCTGTAGACACGGCTTCAGCCTATGCAGCCCTGAGTCCCAGTTTCATTACCTCACAATACTATAGCTGAAAGTTGTCACCTTCCTAGGTAAAAATGGCAGCTGTTTGTAGTGTTGGATGGGTAGCAGGTAAACAATACCTTGCTTTGTCATAGCCAGTGCTTGGTGGCTTGTGGATGTCTAAATACAGACTCGCTCAGGAATGCAGCTTAAAGCTTGGCTGGAGCATAGTGAGCTTCTAGGGTAATGCCCTTTGTTCAAGGAGCGAAGGGTTCTGGGGTTGGACATACACCAGAGTGCAAAAGCTACAAAGGATTTACCATACTGGATCAGAGCAAGGCTTCTGGCAGTTGCCTTGCCCTGCTAAAGAGGGGTGTAACCATAAAGGGCGTGTGAAAGTTGGAAGCTGTTTGAGGTGCAGGGTGGCAGCATCTGCTTCAAATGCATGGAATAGATCCTATCTAAGACACAGCAGGAGGTTCGGGGTGGAACTGTCTTAGCTTTTTTGCTGACGTTCTTGTTTGTTAAATTACACCCAGACCTGTTTTCTAGTGGCGTGTTTTCCAGTTTACAAGCCTCCCATTTACTCTCTCGAGAGATGGGACTACAATTACACAAAGCAGCAGAGAATCTTTTACAAATGCCATGAGAGAGAACAATGACTTTTTGTTCCTAGGAATGAATGTAACCACTGTGTGCTTGGGCCAATATGGAAACCTGCACAGATGATAGGGCTCATCACTCATTTGGTTGAAGGCTTGGGAAAGTATTCACTCCTCCACTGTGCTTGTGCACAAAACCTGTGAGCTACCTTAGCCACCTCTGTGCCCAGTGCTTTAATTGATGGGACAGATGGAAAATCTCAGGCTAAAGTAAAGAGTCTGTAGGGGCTCTAGTGCTTACACCCCAAACTAGTATGCAAATCACCTTTCAGGGTGTAAATTACTTGTTTCTAGGGAAGTGGTCTCCAACCTTTTTGTGGCCAGTAGCACATTCATGTTTTCAGAAGTGTGTGGTGGGCGCCAACAATTTTTCAAGGCTTATTTTGTATTTGTAACACATTTAATATTACATAATATCTGAATCCATAAGATGAAAGTAATTTTACATGTAAAAGGTATTAATTAAATTATTCACCACCCCCCTCTTTGGGGGGAAAAAAATAGAAAAAAGTTGTTGAATGTGCAAATTGAAGGCTATTTTCATATTAAATGTGAATTGGGTAAATTTGATAGAAACTTAACTTAGTTGGATAATTTTTATTTCAACTATATTGTAATTAATTTTTAAACAACATTCTACATAATAAAAGAGGGAGCTGTCCAAATGTTGAGCCAAAAAAGCACTCTTCCCTCCCCCCCCCAAAAAAAATCAAGACCCCTTTAAATCTCTCACTCCCCATCCCCACCGTGTCCTTACTATCTGCTGCCATGTTTCTTTCCCTTGCTCCATCAGCTCCCCTGGTGCCTGCTGTCCCCCAACCTCTTAACCTCCTCTGCTGTACTGACTCCTGCCCTTCTCTCCCCCCTGTGACACTCCTCCAGTAGCCCCACGCTGATCATGGGAGCTACTTCCTCCTAACATGTCCCTCTACACACCTGCCCTGCCTCTCCTCTGGTGCTGGTCCCTCCCCTGCAGCTGTGTGCACCTTCCCTTACCCCTGCACCCTTCTGGTGCCTCGCCCCTGCCCCCTTTGCCCTCTTTTTCCCTGATGCCCACCCCCTCATGTTCCTGTGCCCTCACACATGATTTGTTCCATCCCCACCTTCCTCATGCCCACCCCTTCTTTCAAGCCTTCTCCCAGCACCTCCCCCTCTAGCCCCCAATGCCCTTACTCTCTCCTCTCCCAGCATTACCCTGTCCCCCCTCACACTGACACCTCCCCTCCTGCCCGTTTCCTCATTGACTCCACTTAGCCCCCTGGTATTTGTCTCTCCTCCACATTGTCCCTTGGTGCCTTCCCCTTTCTTGTCCTGACCTGCCCCCCCTCCCCTCAGCACAAGCCCCTTCCTCTCCCACCCCTTCCCCCTATTTTTCCTGCACCCCCACCCCCACCTTGTGCCTTCCAGTTTGAGTCTGTGATCGGGCCCGGCCCCAGCTGCTTCCATGACCCCAGACCATGTGCCGGGCCTGGAGCTGGGCCGTGCAGTTTTAAAATTTAAATTCCTGGGCTGTGACATCACGGCACGCCGGGCGTCTACCCACAGGACGTCTCCCCTCTCAGCTGTTGCGTGGGCCTTTGAACACACCGTGCATGCGCTCCCTCGGATGTCTTGCGAACCTGGCACTTCCCCCCCTCAGCTGTTGGGCGGAGGGGGTGCACGAGACAATCGGAGGAAACACATGCCGCCGCGCAACAGCTGAGAGGGGAGACGCTGGTTCGCAAGACATCAGAGGGAGTGCATGTGTGGTGAACACGCCGCACATGCGCTCCCTTGGATGTCTTGCAAACCAGCGTTTCCCCCCTCAGCTGTTGCGTGGCGGCATGCGCTCCCGCCGATAGTCTCGTGCACCCCCCTTTGGAGACCACTGTTTTAAAAACACTGGTGTGGGCGCACATAAATGCCCTGCCGGGCACCATCAGCAGGCACGGCGTTGGGGACCCCTGTTCTAGAGCATCCCTAAATATGTGATTGAGAGCAGCGGCTGATGACGCCTTGCTGCTTTACTTGGCCTGCCTCATGAGCGCTCTGCAAGACAGAGCACGTAGTAGGCACTGAAGCCCTAGCAGCCTGCTTTGAGTCTGGAATAAAGACCCTTAGGCATGTGTAAGTAACATGTATGTATTGAAATAGGGCTGGTGCCATCACTAATGTTAAACAGCAGCTGGGAGTGTGGTGGGAAAATGAACCTAGCCCTGGTCCTCTGCCACTCTGAGCTCAGTCTGTCCCATGGAAGAGCTCAGTGTCAAGCTGGTTTGATAAATATGACCTTCCCCCATCTTGCTGCTCTCATCCTGGACTCATGTGGCTCCCACAGTGCCCAAGTTGTTCCTTAGCAATCCTGCCCGGGGCAGAAGGAGGATGAGAGACCGTCCCCGTGGGGCAGTATGGCACTATATGCACTGGGGCCCTGCTCAAATACAAACGGGGGAAGTGATTTTCCTGAGATTGGTAGTGAGATCCTGAGTGAGAAATCAGGTCTCTCAGGCTATGTCTACACTCGTGGCTTCTTGGCTAGAAATATGCAAATGAGGCTACGTGTGGAATATTGCCGAGCATCATGTGCATACCTAATGAGATGCCACTTTGTAGAAGAGGCTCTTGCACCAGAAGGAGCTGTCTACACTGTCCCTTCTTGCGCAAGAAAACCCCTCTTGCACAATGCCGTTACGCCAATTATTTTCAGGAATAATGGCCTTGCGCAAGAGGGGTTTTCTTGCGCAAGAAGGGGCAGTGTAGACAGCTCCTTCTGGCACAAGAGCCTCTTCTGCAAAAATGGGAGCTCATTAGGTATGCAAATGAGGCTTGGCGATATTCCATGCTTAGCCTCATTTGCATAATTCTAGCGCAAGA